CCCTGAGGAGCTTGCTGAATATGAGGCACATGAAAGAGATGCTACCAAAGTGGCATGCATCATGATGGCCACTATGAAAGCCGAGCTCCAAAAGTCCTATGAGGACTACTATCCTTTTGAGATGCACCAGGATTTGATGGACCGCTACCATCAGAGTGCTCGTCAAGAGTGATATGAAATCATCTCCTCCATTATAACGACCAAGATGAAGGACGGTGAACCCATCACAGGCCACATGCAGAAAATGCAAAGATATGTGGACCGTTTACTGAAACTTAATGTGAACTTCCCCGAGGAGTTGGCAATAGATATCATTTTGTACTCCTTACCTTCGTGTTATGATCAATTCTGCATGACATACCACATGAACAAGGAGGAAGTTACCCTCAGAAAACTTCAAGGACTCCTAAAGGCCGCAGAATCAGGTCTTAAAGGTAAGTCGGTTGTTACCACTCCTACTCCTACTCCAAACTCTGCACCTGTCCTGGCAATCGGGAAAGGTAGAGGGAAAAAGAGGAAGAATCCTTCGAAGGGTACCAAGGGTAAGACCCTTGATGGCTCCTCTACAAGCGGAACCAAGAAAGGTTTCGTCACTCCTTCTTCTGACCAAAAAGAGGCTGAATGCTTCTATTGCCATGAAAAGGCGCACTAGAAGCGGAACTGCCCAAAGTACCAGCAAGATCTGAAGGATGGGAAAGTAAAACCCAACCATGCAGGTATTTACACTATATTATCTAATAACTCACCCTATTCTAACTCTTGGGTCCTTGATACCGGCTGTGGTATTCATATTTGTTCTGATTTGCAAAGACTAAGAAGAAGTGAGAATGTGGAGCATGGAAAGATAAACTTGATCATGGGGAATAGGAAAGCTTCACCTATCACCAAGATTGGAGTTGATACTTTGTTGCTAAGTAGTGGGTTTACTTTAGATTTGAATAAATGTTGTTACTCGCCTGAAATGGCAAGAAATGTTATTTCCTTTCATGCTTTGTACAAACGAGGGTTTACCTTTTCTTTTGATAATGAAGTTGGTGGAATAAATGCTTTCTTTAATAATGTGTTGTATTTTAAAGCATTACCTTGTGATGGTGTGTATGAAGCTGTGTCTGTTGTAGATAACTTAGGAAATAATGTGTTGTGTATTGATTCTACTAATGATAATAACTTGGATAAAGCATCATTATGGCATTGTCGTCTTGGACATGTAAGCAAGAAACACATAGGCCAACTCCAAAAGGATGGAGTCTTTGAGTCATTTGACCTAAAGTCAGATGATAGTTATGAATCATGCTTACTTGGAAAAATGACAAAGTTACCCTTCCCAGGTTCTTGTGCTAGGGGTGAAGGTTTGTTGGATCTGGTACACACAGATGTGTGTGGACCCTTCAAAACTGCCACAAGGGATGCTAATCGTTATTATGTGACTTTTACATATGATTATAGTAGATATGGATATGTCTACTTAATCAAGCATAAGTCAGATACTTTCGATAGGTTTAAAGAGTTTAAACAGGAAGTAGAGAATCAATTGGGCAGGAACATTAAGATGCTTCGATCCGATCGTAGTGGTGAGTATCTTAGTACAAAGTTCCTCGACTATCTTAAGGAATGTGGGGTTGTCTTACAATTAACACCTCCTAGGACACCACAGTTGAATGGTGTAGCTGAGAGGCATAATCGAACCTTGTTAGACATGGTTTGTTCCATGATGAGTCGAGCTTCACTACCAATCTCATTCTAGGGGTATGTATTAGAGACTGCCGCCCATATCCTTAATCTGGTCCCTACAAATATGGTTTCCAAAACACCTCACGATATGTGGATTGGAAACGTTCCTAATCTAGCCCACATTAAGATTTGGGGTTGCGAAGCTTTCGTGAGACGCGAGACTCACGATAAGCTCGAACCTCGAAGCGAGAGGTGTATTTTCATCGGCTACCCACATAAATCCTTTGGTTACCTCTTCTACAGACCTAGTGAGAATGTGGTCTTTATAGCAAGGAGAGGTGTCTTTCGAGAGAGAGAGAGTTCATAAGCCAAGGAAACAGTGGGAGGCAGATTGACCTTGAAGAAATTCAAGAGTCAAGTGGTGAAGGAACCTCAAACCCTAGCAGTGAACTTGAGGAGGAAACTCATGTTGATCCAATTGACAAGTGTTTCGCTATGAAAGACCTAGGAGAAGCTGCCTATATTCTAGGGATAAGGATTCTGAGAGACCGGAGTAAAAGACTGATTGGACTCAATCAGAGTACCTACTTGGATAAGGTGTTGAAGAGGTTCAGCATGCAGGATTCCAAAAAAAGAGAGTTACCTATCTAGTGTAACGCCAGATTGAGTAAGACTCAGAGCCCGAGTACCGAGGCTGAGATAGCAGAAATGAGTCGAGTACCTTATGCTTCCGCTGTAGGATCGATCATGTATTCTATGACTTGTACTCGTCCTGATGTGGCCTTTGCCTTGAGTATGGTTAGCAGATATCAGGGGAACCCTGGCAAGGCTCACTGGACTGCGGTAAAGAATATCCTCAAGTACCTACGGAGGACTAAGGACTGGGTCCTTACCCGTGGTGGGAGTGATGACTTGAGAGTTGTATGGTATAGTGATGCTAGCTTCCAGACTGATAAGGATAATTTCCACTCTCAGTCGGGTTGGGTATTTAGCTTAAACGGAGGAGCAATTACTTGGAAAAGTTCCAAGCAGGAGACAGTGGCTGATTCAACTTGCGAATCAGAGTATATAGCGGCAAGCGAGGAAGCAAAGGAGGCAATATGGCTGAAGAACTTCATTGGAGACCTTGGAGTAGTACCAGCTATAAAGAGCCTATGGAAATTTTTTGTGATAGTGAAAGTGCAGTTGCCTTAGCCAAGGAACCAAGGGATCACGAGAGATCCAGACACATTGAACGAAAATACCATTTCATCAGACATCGTATAGAAGAAGGACTCCTCGTGGCAAAGAGGGTATCATCGGATGAGAACCCAGCAGATCCCCTCATGAAGGGACTGGGTAGGGTTAAGCATCTTTAGCATGCAAGGAGGATAGGGCTGAAGGATGATATTAGTTTTGGTAGTTAGATAATTTTGAAATTTGTAAAGTG